CATTGGTTTTTTATCAAGGTAGAATGTACCATCCCATTCGCTGGCTACCTCACTGCTGTACCAAGAAACTATTTTAAATTGTCCCTGGGAATCAAATGGAAAAACTGCCCATAAACTTCACTGGAGAAATCACTAGTTTTAATCTAGCTGCATTCTGGGCCCTGTTTCTATCCCCCCCTTCCCCAAAATGTCCAAATGGAGGGAATGCTGACTGAATGTTAGAAGGAGAGGATGGAAATTGGGTGGGGGTTGAAGGGAACAGCCAGAACCTACCACCAAAGCATGGCTTTAGTTAACATGTAATTTCTTGCTTAGTTTCACACTGCGCTGCCTGTACCTAGGCAGTTTGATAATAGTGTTAAGACATAAAACTGTTTGGGAGTTATTTTATGTTTGAAATTATGCTGTAGCTATTCTCTAACCCAGAGAGAAACCACCTAGACTCCAAAGTGGGGCCTTTCGGAAGGGCAGCCTCAGTTCTGGGAAATCTTATCCAGGCCATCCCATTGCAGGAGATGGATTTATAAACGAGTGACAGCTTTTTCTGCAGAAAGAGCTGTTTGTTTGGAGTGAGCCTCTCTGTAAGCCAAAGGGTCTTCTCACTGCCGACTTTGTTTCTTTGATAGCTATCAGGCAGAAGATGGGAAGCAGAAAAAATGTTTGGGAGATGCGCAGGGAAAAATTGAAACTGGTAACTTGTGGGAACACATGAGCAAGGCTCAGTAAGGCATCCTTAGCTAGCTGGTGCATGCGGGAATTGTAGCCTGGACAACTTGGGTGGGGCACAGGAGGCAATCTTCTCGGTGCTACTAAAACACCAGTGCTCTACTATAATCTTATTCATATCTATCACTCCCAGAAACCTACTAGCAGACTCAGATCTCCAAATGCCATGACAGCATCATCTGCAAACGAGAGGGAGGCACCAGCAGGTTCGGGGCAGCAGCAGCAGCAGCAGCAACAAAAACAACATCCTGAGGAAAGTAATTGCTAATGGAGCAGAGACCCTCCAAACAGCCTTGCAGGGACTGCCCAGGCTGGGTGGGAATATTGGGAGGGAAACACGGGCATGGAATGGAGTGCCCCTGGAAGAAGATGGGGCTGGCTGGCTGGCTGGAACTGGAGCATCCACACTTGTGCTTGATGGTGGTGGTGGAGGAACCAGGCTATTTCCAAAGTGGTCCCTTTGATATTTCATTCATGTGGCAGCATGGCAGGGACAACATTTGTGGATTTGGAAGATGTGCTTGCTAAAAGACGCCAGCAAAGGTGCAGGAGAGCTGGCGCCGCTTCCCTGGTGGGAAAGAGCTGAATAAGGATGCCCTGAGTTCAAATCTGTCCTAAATCATAAACTTACTAAACTTGCCTCAGGCAAGCCACTGTTTTCTTAGCTTCAGGCCCTACCCTCTTCCCCACCGCTGGCCTATACGGAATGAGAGGCACTATGGTGTAATGGTTAGAGGGTGGAACTGGGACTCAGGAGAGCTAGATTCTGGTCCCCACTTGGCCATGGAGCTCCCTGGGTGCCTTTGGACCAGTCCCTCCCTTTCAGCTTACCTCACAGGAGTGTTGTGATGATAAAATAAGGAGGGAAAGGTCCATGTAAGCTCTCTTGGCTTCTTTGCAAGAGGACAAAAGTGGATATAAAAAAATACGTACAATACGGACGAGGATGGAATAATGGAGTGTTCTGGCCCACACTTCAGGGCAGTTGGCGGGAATGCTGAGTAAACTGATGTCACGAGCATTGAACATTCAGCTGTGCTGCTTATCCTGGGGCAGCTAGAGGTGCCGATGGCATGGCGCCGGAACACCCAGCCTTAATTCCAAGATGCTCTCTGCCTTGACACAGAGAAGTGTGTGCAGATGCCGCAACACCACTCACAGAAGAGAAGGTCAGTGTGCTTCTCACTAGCACAGCCCGGAACACTATCCAGAGCTTGGCTGTTGTGCAGTATAGACATGAACTGAAGAACTGAACTGAACTGAATCAATCAGGGCTTGGAGCATTTACACAGCTGTGCTGTGCTGCTGGTGCAGTGCTATCTGAGGAAGATGTTTGGGCAGCGCCCTCTCTTCGGGCTACGGCGGCGGCGCAAGGATTGCTGTGGCATCGCTCTGAGTAGTAGGTGGAGGTGAAAAGCACACAGCTGAGGTTTTGTTTCAAGCCAGCATGATCCTAGCTGGACAGTGACTCTGTCATTTGAAAGCATAGCCACCATGTTTTCACATGCTACACTTTATACTTAGGTTGACCTTTGAAGGTAGATGTGGGAATCATCAGCCCAGTGGGCTGATGGCACTCGGAGGTGGCAGGGAAAAGTGGCATGCTTTTGGATGGAAGCCCAGAAGCCCCTAGATTTTCCAAATACATTTTTGCTGGGTGGGGAATGATCTCTTTTTATCATGCAGATGTTTGAATCAAGAGCACATATAGCAGACTGCAGACTGGAAAATTAAGCCAGTGAAGGCATGGAAGAAAATGCTGATGATGTTAGATGGCCATGTGCCTTTTGCAGTGCATATCATACCTGTCCTTGCTTTTGCGGGGTTTGGGGAAATAGGGTGAGGAGCAGATTTCTCCCCATTCCATTGCTTTATAGATCCACTGGATTTGTGGGAGCCACTCGCTCAACATTTCAGCTCTCCTGAACTTCTGCTAACTAGGGGTGCGATCCTGACACCCCATTCTGCTGCACTGTGGCAGATGCTCATACGCCCCTGAACCTGGAGGCTTACCAGTTTCTGTGGCAGGAGCAAGACTTGGTGGCAACCGTTGCTTTGCTGCAGCTCCTTCTATCCTAAGGTTTCTCTATATGGCTGTTTTCAGCTTTCTGGGTTTAGCACCAGGGCGGGGCAAGGAAGGAGCCTGGAGTGAGGCAGAACTGCAGCCCAGCCTCCTCCCCTCCC